TTTTTAAACACAGAAAAAGAAAGAGAAACTGAACAAAAAACTGAGGCAAAAATGAGAGCTAGTCACTAAAAAGTGATCCAAAAGCAGCGATCCGGCCAGACCTCTCGAAGAAAGGTCTGCTCAGCGCGGCGGAAAGGAAAGAACTGGCGGGATGTCCGTGCCTGCCCTTCTGGGCATGCTCACTGGGGCTCCTGAGCATGCTCAGTTGGGCCAGGCACGAAAATCCTTTTAAGAGAGCTTGCTAGGCACCGGCAGATCCAGCGCAGGCGCACTAGATCCCATTGGTGTGAAGCACAGAGACCACGAAGAAGATCAAGTTGCCCTTAAAGACATAGGAGCAGGGGCTGGTTGTTAGCAATCCTATTTTTTCAAGGCACCTCGAGAAGGATTTCAAAAGCTTAACTCAAACACTGATATTTTGCTTTAGGAGGAAGAAATCTCCTACCCCACAAGGGAGAGAGGGAGGGAAAACGGGTGACCAGCTGCCACTTCTTTCTCTGCTGGGCTCTTCCACTGCCAGCTCCTCATGCCCAGCCCTGCCCCATACCAGCTCATTCAACAGGCACCATGCCCAACTGGTTAATGGGGTAATAGTTGCTCCTTGTCTGCCTGGGGTCATGGCAGCTCTCCCCAATGCCCAGCCTGCCTCCCCCGTTTGGTATCTTCACCTGCTCAGCTTTTTCATTCCACACCCCCACAAAGGAGGAAGGAAGAGTAGGTGACCGCCAACCATTTCTCTACTGCTGATCCCCTCCCTCCTGGTTTGGCCTCTTCCCCTGAGTGCTCTTCCACTGCTGCTGCTGGAATCTGTGCCCAACTGGCCCATGGAGAAGTTGCAACTCTTTGCCTGCCTGGACCTGTGGTGATTACTTCTTTGCCTGGCCTGCCACCACCTGCCTGTAAATGGAAAAGAGCAGACAGTTCCCCATCCACACAGCTTGTACGCCTACCCTGATCTATCTCTTTCTTTCTCTGGCTGAGTGGGGTGGGTTGGAGTACAAGCAAGCCCACTGCCATGGTGGGGCTCCCTGAGGCTAAGCTCCCCCCCCAATCTGCCCCCCACCTGCCCACCACCCTGGCTCCATCCTCACTTTGTTGTTTTTTGCCCGCCAAGCCCACTATGCCACAGCTGTGCCAGCCCACATCATGAATCCGTGTGATGCTGCGCCGCCACCTGCTGACGTCGCCACAGCCTGGCTCCTACTTCTGGTGCTTCCTTGGAGCAATGAGCCTGACTGCCTGGCTTGGCTGACTGGTGCAGTGGTGGTATTGGCAGTGTCAGGGGTGGAGGAGGCCTGAGGGAGCCTGGCAGCGCCCAGTGCAGTGGCAGCCAGTCGAAGCAGCGCGTTGCAGAGGGACGCCAAGGGCGGCTTGGCTGAGCCTGTTGCATGAGGTTTCTGGTGGAGGGAGGGGAGCTATCCAAGTCAGGCAAAGGGGAGATGGAAAGGAGAGGGCTCTTCTCATCCTCTGGCACTTTTACTTGATTTTTAAATTATTTCTTTGATGTTGAAAGTGACGTCATGCCTCCCCAGTGCCCCACCACCAAAAACTTCCTGGCTATGGGCCTGAGTACAAGGATCAGAAGTGGCTATTCTTAACCTGCAGTTGCTCCATAACTCTGGCTTGCATCAAATCCTGATTAAGTAGAAACTTGGTTAACACTAACTGTGGTTAACATTAGTACTGATGTAATTTAAATTAAGAATTTGCAAAAGAAAATGTAGGACAGGAATGTAACTGGTTGGAGTGCATGAACTCTGCTGTGGGGAGAGGAAGGGAAAGGAGTTTGTAAGCCGCTCTAAGACTCTGAGTGAAGGGTGGGGTATAAATCCAATCTCTTCTTCTTCTTCTATCTTGCTGTATATCTTGAATGATCAAAGAATATGGCATTTCTAGGCATCTGATTTATAATTCAAAATCAGCATCTCATTAATCTTACTGACACACAACAAAACTATTCCAGAAAATAGGGCTCCCTCAAAGGTAAGAATACAAATTATCAATGTATATATTTATAGTCCTAGTAAGGTACACCCAGAAAATTATGGGTCTGCACAAACCAGGTACTTTATGGAACTTTATTGCCTTATACTGTGATGACAAAGGTTTGGGGGCATTTACATCCATTACAGCCAGTTTGGTGTAGTGGTTAAGTGTGTGGCCTCTAATCTGATAGAATCCGGTTTGATTCCCCACTCCTCCACTTGCAGCTGCTGGATGACCTTGGGCTAGCCATAGTTCTGACAAGAACTGTCTATGAAAGGGCAGTTCTTGAAAGAGCTCTCTCAGAGCCACCTACCTCACAGGGTGTATGCTGTAGGGAGGGGAAGGGAAAGGAGTTTGTAAGCCACTCTGAAGGGCGGGGTATAAATCCGATCTCTTCTTCTTCTAAAATATCTTACTGATGTAGTACATAAAATACTTCCAGCTAAGCTAAGGCGTTTATTTTTTACTTAACTGTTATCCAACATTTAGATGTTCATTTTCATTCTTCAGGAGAATGCATGTTTGTTTCAGTGGATACGAACTGGCAGACACATTTATTCAAATGTAGCACACTTACAACACATTTTTTTCTTTGATATTTTGCCAAGGTCAATAAGTGTACTGTGGGGGAAACACCCAGCTGAGTGCTATTTTATCTTTGTTAGTCTAGTCTGTGGTCTCTCCTCATCAGATAATTACAGTTTTCCATAATGTGCTGAATTTCATAAACTTCAGCGGTTTTGTGGTAATAGCCATTGCCCGACAAGAAACAAACCATGACTATAATGTGTCAGAGAAATACAGCTGAACTAAACCAGTTCTCCCAAGGTGAGAGAAAGCGCAATACCTTATCCACCAAAGAACACATTTTCATTGGATACAGGCCATACATCCAGATGATCCAGAGCCAGAATCTTGAAGAGCAAAAACCCACCAACCCCTAGGTAGCACCACAAACCACAGCAGTTTTTACACCATTTTTCAAGGAAGGAAGGCCTGAAACTAGTCTACAAGGCAGGAGAAGCGAACTGCTTGTTGCAAACATAACACAGTGTCTAGTGGCACCTTAAAAATCAACACATGTGGCATAAGCTTTTGTGTGCCATAGCAACTCCCTTTGTCAGATGCATGAAGTGGTCACATAGGTGAGTAGGTATATATATTGTGAGTACAGAGAGGTGAAAAGCAAAATTATTCTTGACAAAGTGCGGCTGAAGGGCAAGAAATGCCACAGACAGCAGTTATGCATGTCACAGTGTTATGTGGAATACAAATAAACACAGAATGCAGTCAAATGAGTGCAACATCCAAGCAGGGCGGATAGAACTCTTGTGTTGTTTTTGCTGCAAAAGATGGGTGCAGCTACCCCTATGGAATCTGACACTCATTGTTGAGAATGTTTAATCCTATTTTATATTTAAATTTCTCCTCCCATTATCTGTCCAAAAGTTTTTAAAGAACTGTTTACACAGCTGTGAATGAGGTTTAGTCATGAATGTTTGGAAATGGAGAAAGACAAACTTTAAAAAAGAGTTTACATAGACTGATGTAGATCTACATGCTTATGATTTCTTTCATATTATTAGCCTCTTAAATACACAGACTGGTTTGTAAGAGGTTTGCTTTTTAGTACACGTCTTCTGTAGCAAAACAAAAAATAGTAGAATACATCTGTACTCTTCTGTATAGGTGGATAACTGTGGAACTGGGTTGTGTCTTACTAAAACTAGTATTGTTGGTGCGGCTCATGGGAAGGTGACAACTGTAGACATGTGATGAGATATGTGATGGAAGGTATTTCATCACAGACAGGTTTCTTTCCTCACACAACTCTTGCATTCTTGCCTTATGGTTTTTCCATATACCTCTATGCAGAAGTGATGGGCTCTCCGGAGTGAAGTAAGAGGCACAAAACAGATGATGTCAATCTGACGCCAAGAGGATCTTAAGTATGTTAACCTTGTTTGGGGTCTTTGGGGCTTTATTTTAACTTGCACTATAATTCTCAAGCTTATTTTTGTGTACTGATTTCAAACACCTAATAAGCCACTGTAAGGGAAAACTCCTAAGCCATGTTTACTCAGAAATAAATTCCACTGAGTTCAGAAGGACTTACTCCCAAGTCAGTGTGCATATGATTGTGATCCAAGGCTTCTAGAAATGAACATCTATTTTAAAAAGCCTGCACACACAAACAGCATGTGAATTGCAGTAATATAAATACGGAAAATGGTCCGATTAACACATAAAACTGGAGTGTAAGGGGCATGAAATTCTATCACATTCAAATTTGGAACAAAAATCAATTAAACGTTTTTCAAAATATCGGCCCTGGTCACACAGGCCAGATAACGCAGGGGGGAGGTGTGGCTGTTTGCCCCGGAGCAAAATAAAGCGCGGTAGCCCGATCACATGGTCCCCTGAGGCTTTGTGCTTAGGCTGTTAGCTGGTGATCACACGGTGATGCTGGAGCATGGCAAAGAAGTGGCGCAACAAGCGTTCTGCGTTTGTGCATATGCACAGTTCCGCAGAGCAGCACTGCTTTCAGTTACGTGTTTGTGCGCATGCGCTTACGAAAAACATTCGGTTTGCGACAGGATGTGGACGGGTGCCAGATGCCACAGGATACTAGCGCTCCCGCGATCAGACGGCCGCCCCTGCCCCGCGTTTTCCGGATACTAGTGCACTTTCCGCGGTACTTTTTTACTGCGCGTCTTCGGCAGGATGCCACGGGTTGGCCATGGGTGCGCTACGCTTCCCAGATGTTGCGGTGTGATCGCACACCAAAAATCCACCTGACATTCGTGCCTTTAGCGCGGCAAATCCTCCATGTGAACGGGGCCATTAACAAGCAAAATATACTGGAGACTAAATAAGCCTGTAAATACACTAAAATACATTAAAATAATCTTAATTGTCACACTGACTAAATGTTCACCCTGTTCTCCACATTTTGACAGACTGAAATATGTAGTGTTATCCAGCTTCTGCATTTGAAGCCAGTGGGATGTTACCTGGTGAGGAACGGAGGCGACACTGTCCAGTCATTGGGTCATACTCCTGGTTTTCATCGGAACACAGACACAGGAAGGAGCCTTCTACATTTTCACACAGGGCTTCCCCACACACCCCGCTCAGCATTTCACATTCATTCACATCTGGAAAATGAAGAACAGTAAAAATCTTTTTAATTAACAGCAGGTTTTTTTTAGGAATTTATTGTCCCTGAGATTCACATACCAGTATTTTTAGCGGAAAACTATCATTTAGGGTATTTTTTATTTTAAATACATCTAATGATGTAGGTTCCCAGAAGATGAATTGTATACCTTAAGATAAAGATTCTTAAAAACTCACAAAATACAAGCAGTGGCTGAAAAGTTATCCTTTTTGTACTGCTGCCATTTTGCTACACAAATACCTATTCTCAAAAGTAATATAACAAATAAGCCATTGAAGTCAGCTGAAGCAATTTCCATAAATCAGTTTGGTAATTCTGGAGCTTTCTTGATCATGAATACCTCAAACACTGAATGGACACTGGAAACAACTTGTGTGACAACACAAAAGATGGAATACACTCTCACACATTCATACCTTCTAATATTAATTATGTGCACAAAAGATGGAATACACTCTCCCACATTCATACCTTCTAATATTAATTATGTGCTTGCAACACATTATTTGCCCATAATATTCATTGTTATGGGGTATTCGTTTACAGTAAACTGGGTTTGCCAGGGTCTACTTGATAAAAAAAACTATGTGATACTATTCAGTCTTGGGTGTTCTCTGCATCTCTGTGAATGTACTCCTTAATAGGGATGGGCAGAAAAAAACTGGGGAAATATGGTTCGTTTCGGTTTGTGGCATGTCCATTTCGTGAGCCACGAACCATCACAAACGTTTAGGTGCCAAATGAACCAGTGAGGCTCATAAGGTGGTAGCCCCCCCAATGTGCTAGAGGCACCGAACTCACAGGAGATCTCCGGCTGACTCTCTTCTACCTGCCCTCCAAGTCTAATGAGGACTGGATACACAGGGTCCGAGTTATGGCCCCCTAAAGGGGTGACATGATCGAGGTTTATAAGATTATGCATGGGATAGAGCAGGTAGAGAAAGAAGTACTTTTATCCCTTTCTCACAATAAAAGAACTCGTGGGCGCTCAATGAAATTGCTGAGCGGTTGGGTTAGAACAGATAAAAGGAAGTACTTCACCCAAAGAGTGATTAACACATGGAATTCACTGCCACAGGAGGTGGTGGTGGCGGCTACAAGCATGGACGGCTTCAAGAGGGAATGAGAAGAAGAGAAGAAGAGATTGGGTTTATACCCCGCCCTTCACTACCCAAGGGAGTCTCAGAGTGGCTTAAAAACTCCTTTTCCATTCCCCTCCCCACAACAGACACCCTGTGAGGTGGGTGGGGCTGAGAGAGCTCAGACAAAAACTGCTCTTTTTCAAGGACAGCTGTTATCAGAACTATGGCTTGCCCAAGGTCACCCAGCAGGTGCAAGTGGAGGAGTGGGGAATCAAACCCGGTTCTCCCAGATTAGAGTCCGCACACTTAACCACTACACCTAACTGGCTCTCATATATGGAGCAGAGGTCCATCAGTGGCTTTAGCCACAAGGTACAGATAGGAACTCTCAGTCTGGGGCAAGTGATGCACTGTATTCTTGGTGCTTGGGGGGGGAGCAACAGTGAGAGGGCTTCTAGTGTCCTGGCCCCACTGCTGGACCTCCTGATGGCACTTGGTATTTTTGGCCACAGTGTGACAGAGTGCTGGACTGGACGGGCCATTGGCCTGATCCCACATTGGCTTCTCTTATGTTCTTATGTGACGCCACAAAAGTACTTTCTGGAAAAATGACAGGCTCAGGTTCAGAAGTATATAGAACAGACGCTGTGCAAGCTAGAGTTATCAAACTTGCCAGGAACCTCCCCCTGATGCTCCTCTACATGCCCTCCAAGTTATGTGAAGATTGGACTTCGGGAATCTAAGTTATGCCTCCCCTGCAAAGAAGATGCCACCAGGAAAGTGCTTTTGGGGAAATAAAGTGTATAGAATGGACCGCCTGCAAGCTACATACACCAAATACACAGTCGGTAGAGTTCCAACCCCAACCCCCCCATTTTGAAGTTTGGTAAACATTTCGACTGAGCAGAGACAGTCTGTTTGGAAATGTATCCATTCACAAACCACCACAAACTCCTTGAAAGTTCATGCCTGTTGAATTGCCACGAACTTCAATTTGCAATTCACAAACTGGCTAAAATTCATTCTGCACTTTAGCTCGTGAGCCGGTTCGGGCCCATCCCTATTTCTTAGAAATTGGTAAAAAAACCCTGACTGGATTAAACTGTTGAACTAACATCCATGGGATGAAGCAACTCTCAGTTCCGTTGCTTCTTGAACATTTGATATACAGAATCATTCTTGTGACTTTCACACAAGTAGGGCACAGCTCTAAAAGGACTGACTTTTCAAAAATGTTGCAATTCCTGTATTGTGTAGCTCTATCATTGTAGCCATTCTGTTGTGAACCTTTTCAGTGTGATAAAATAAAGGCGACCACAGGCTCACAAAACAGCACTGAACTATCTTCTCCAGAGTAATGCTATGAACAATGATGGAAGTGTGCAACGTCAAATAAGAGTAAAGTTCTCCAAAACATTTAATCCACATTCATCACTGATATTATATTTCAAGTATAACATGGTAGTTCGAAAGTATCATCTGCTTTCATCACTGGCTAGCACAGCTGTTAAGCAAGATTAAGTCGACAGTGTTTTCCCCTTCCATTTCCCATCTTTCAATATACTAACAGGTAATTTTACCATCATGCATCTTGTATGTTTTCCCTCTGTCTGAGTTAACATAACTGATGCTTTCAAAGTTCTCTGAAAGCATTTACAACAGTCATAGCACTGCCCTATAGAGCCCTGTCATTTAATGATTCTAAGAGAGGATGAAGGATTTTGAAGAGAACACGGAATCCACACACAACTCCAAATTCACAGATCACCTTCAAGCAAGCAAAGACATCTAAGCTAGCTGGCTCCTATTGTAGCTGTAGCGTGTTTAGAGTGGCATGCTTCTGTTGTGATCCTTAGTGCTCGTTTAAATACTTCTGCACTGTCATTTTTGTCACTCGTTTGTCTCTGTTGCTTCAGGGTCCCCCCCCCCCAATGTGTTTTGCTCTCTCTCTAGTAGTCCCAGAGGGAGCAAAACACGTGTGGAAAAGGGGGGCAGGAACCCAAAGCAATAGGGAAAAATGAGTGACAAGAATGACAGTGCAGAAGTGGCCATAATGTCTCTATAATATTAAATTAATTATTTTTCTCCATATTGTATATATTTGGACTTGTCACTAAATGAAAACTCCATTCCTGAAAAAAGAAGGCAAATTATTAAGCAACATTTTAAAAGAAAAAAATTAAGAAAATAAGTGACACCTTATATAGCATCAGTCACAGTTCACTGGAAATACACAGTGGTAGAAGCCTTACTGTTAAACCAGGAGGGTGAAATTCAGGAACACATCTCTATTTGGTTGAGCAAAGTATCTTTGAATACCTAAAACATTGCACTGATTAAAGATGGCTTCATCAAGTGAAATCATATTTTGATGAATCCCAGTTATGATAATTACATTGGAAAAATATACCAACACCAGAAATTCTTTCACAATTCTTGTTCCTTCCAGCATAGAGCCACTTATAATGCTAAGTGGCATGGGCTCACTGTTCAGCTCAGTCAGCCTCTCCAGTGCCTCAGCCAGGTAGGCTTGCCAAGTCCCCCTGGGGGGCAGGGGAACCCCCCGCCCCAGAGGCCTGTTCCCCGCTGCTGGCGGATCGGCCCCTGGGGGGAACCCCACCCCCACATGCACGTCACCAGGAAGTGACGTGACGACAGCGTGCCTGGCGTCGTCACGTCACTCCCTGGTGACGTGCATGCGGCTCAAGCCGCAAGCCGGGAGTCCCCCGCTGCAGCAATTTTTTCACTTGGCAACCCTACAGCCAGGTCAAGCTGAAGGTGACTCTGATGATGGCTCAGAAGCAGTGAGGAATGCCTCAGCTCAGTTGACTAAGAAAATACCTGGGTTGTCAACAGATGCAGACCCTCCCCAAATTTACAACCAGAGCCATCACCAAGTTATGGGGCATTCCCCAAGATTTACAGCAGGAGCTGTGGACAAGCACGAATTCTTCCCAGGAATTACAATCTACCTCAGAGGAGGAGGAAATCTCTGCCCCTATGCTGCTAGAGCATCATAGGGAAAGGAGGCAACGGCAGAAGTGAATGTGGCAGTTAAATGCTCAACCATGGAAAAACTGTTGGACAAGAAACACCTGGACAGGGAGGGGCTGCTGCAGTTCCATAAATAGTGAGCAGTTACAGCCAATTCTTTGCTGGCGACAGATTTTGTTCCAGCTCCCTGTTTTTACCCGTTAAGTCCCTGGATCAGCCTTACTTTCTGACTCCTTGTGCTTCGAGCTTCATTCTGGACCTGACTATGCCTCTTGGACTTGTTCTCTGTATCCTGGCTCCTTGTGCGCTATGACCTTTGTTCTGGACTTGACTACGCTTCTTGGACCTGCCTTGCATCCTGACTCTTTGTGCTTCAACCTCTGAACTGGACCTGACCACACCTCTTGGAACTCACCCCGCATTGATTCCTGACCTTGGTGCCTGGACCTCTTGCCTGGGACTTAACTATAGTTGACTACCTGTCAAACCCAGACCTCAGGGGCCTTTCTGTGACTTATTGGCACTGGGCCTTTTGCCTTGGCCATGAAACACGACTCTAAGTGACTCTAACAAATAAACTTAAAACCTTGCTGAAGTCATGATTAAATATCTCCTTGAGTGATATATATATTTGGTTCGTCAATTTCCCACTTCACCTTCACATAATCCAGACCTTCCTGCTGTTGCTTTTGCTTCTGTGTGCAGTAAGGCCATGTGCTAAACAGATTTTAAAAATGAACTGAAATTGCAGATATCAATACTGCAGCTATATTTGGCGTATATGTTACACCAAGGAAAGAGAACATTTTCTTTTAAATCTCCAGAACCATCCAGCTAACTTAGCCAGAAATTGTACTCAATATATTATTTGGCCGTAAAAAACACTACATAGGAAGGGGGG